GAAGTCAAATCCAATACAATCCCACACAGAAACCCAAAAATGCACTGGTCAAAATTATTGGCACCCTGTCTAAATTGTAAGAAATAATTGCTTGTCAAGCATGTGATGCTCCTTTAATTTGTATTTAGACACACCTGTCCCAAGTAAGAGGTGTGGGCAATATAGTAATCAAGTTGACTCAACCTTTGTGTTGTGTGTGACCCTAAGCATGGAGAAAACAATGAAGTGTAAAGAATTGTCTGTGGATTTGAGATAAAAAAATGTGGAAAAACATTTACCGTCTTAAGGCTACATGTCCATCTTCAGAGATCTTAATGTTCCTTTGTCCACTGTGTGCAATATCATCAAGAGGTTTACAGCCCATGGTACTGTAAGCTAACCTCCCTGGACAGGGATGGAAGAGCAAAATTACTGAAAAATTGCAAGATTGGTTGTTCGAATAGTGGATACAGAACCCAGATTAACTTCCCAACAAATTCAAGCTGATCTGCAGACACAGGGTACAACAGTGTCAGCTCGCACTATCCATCACCATCTGAATGAAAAGGGACAATATGGAAGGAGACGCAGGAGGACACCACTGCTGACAAAAAGGCATAAAAAAACAAGACTGGAGTATGCCAAAACTTATGTGACAAAACGACAATCCTTCTGGGAGAATGTACTGTGGACAGATGAGAGAAAAAGGCAACTTTTTGGTAAAGGCCGTCATGACACTGTTTACAGAAAAAGAAATGAGGCATTCAAAGAAAAGAACACAGTCCCTACAGTCAAACATGGTGGAGGTTCAAAGATGTTTTGGGGCTGCTTTGCTGCTTCTGGCACTGGATGCCTTGACTGTGTGAACGGTATCATGAAATCTGATGATTACCAAAGAATTTTGGGCCACAACGTAGTGGCCAGTGCCAGAAAACTTCATCTCCACCAGAGGTCATGGGTCTTCCAGCAGAACAATGACCCGAAACACACTTCAAAAAGCACCCAGAAATAGTTACAAACAAAGTACTGAAGAGTTCTGAAGAGGCCAGCAATGAGTCCAGATCTCAATCCCATAGAACCCCTGTGGAAAGATCTCAAAACAGAAGTTGGTAGAAGGCATCCTTCATATCTAAAGCCCCAGTTTGCAAAAGAAGAGCGGTCTAAAATTCCAGTAGAGAGGTGTAAGAAACTCATTCATGGTTACAGAAAGTGATTGATTTATTTTTTCCAAAAGGGGTTTGGAAAGTTAAGTTAAGAGTTGCCAATAATTTTAGCCAGTGCATTTTTGGGTTTCTGTGTGGGATTGAACACGTGAGTACCAAAACATTTGCAACTGCAATGATTTTCTGAGAGAAGGGTTGCATTTTCTGACAGAATTGCCCACATGAGACAAAATAGATACCTCTTGCAAGACAGACGTTTGATCTCTGTATTTGTAGCAAGACCCTGCAAGGCAGCCTGCAGATTTTACTCTCGGGTTTCCTCCATGTTGAGCAAGAACCTTAAGCTTGGGCACTTCAAATTCAAATTGCTCTCACATAACACCTTGTCACTTTGGTCAGTCATTGTCCTTTTAGTGAGTTCCAAATAGCTTATCCATCAAAGTTGTAACAACTAGAGTCATCTTTGTGGAAAGTGGCTTGAGTAAACTGGAGATCAAAGAACTATCCCACCTTACATACCTGTTTATATATAGGAAGATTTAAACTGCAGTGCTTTGTTGATACTAAAAGCCAGAGGGGTTATTAAGGCACTTGTAAAAGTTTGACCCATGCACATTAAAGTAAAATATGGCTGTGTTCACAAAGACAGTAACAAAAAGTCCCAAAGCCTAATTCTGCTAAGCTTAGTAATATATCAGAGGCTGCATTAGTTTATGAGCATATCTGGCAGTAGAAAGGGATATTAAAGTGATATATAGAATGAAGGCATTTTTTTCCTTAGGAAGTCAATGTTAGGCATACTTGGAAACTTCATTTCCATAAAAGCTAAATGGCCCTCAATACTAGTAGATATTTCTTCAGAATTAAAGTATATGTGTGTATTCATATATATGCATATATCTATGTATACTACACAAAATTCTGCCAAGTAAATGAAAGTTCTACCCAAAAAAAGCACATCCCAGTGAAACGATTCTGTAGTTTTGTTTTAAAATCACAAAATGTAAATGTTCCTGTTGACGAGAAACATAATGGGAGACAAGCTGAAGAGGAACTCCTCTTAAGCCTGAATTAAAGGTATTGTTCAGTTTAGTTAGTTAGCAATTCTTACTGTTGTATCAGGTAGACAGCTTCCAGATTTTCAGTCCAAACCTGGTAGGCTAATTTGTCCAACATGTACAGTAGACAGTCTTGTATGTTAAATATGTAAATATGCATATTATGGAAATTACTGTTGATTTTTTCACATTATGCACGTGAAATACATTACCTGTTGCATTGTTTACCAGTATGTTTCAGCTTTGGCATCATATATGCAGTACCCACTGATCTGAGAGAGTTGGTATAGTTAGGATAATTAATATTATGGCTTTGGAAGATGGAAACTCAAATCAACTTGTTGATTAATCACAAGACTTATTTATTTATTTATTTATTTATTTATTTATTTTATTTCTATCCCGCCTATCTGGTCGCACTAGACCACTCTAGGCGGCTTACAACAAGCAACAACAACATAATTTTAAAAACGTTACAATTTAAGAGAGATAGAGATTAAAAAAGATATAGAGAGAAAATCGTCAGGAGTTTTCTGTTGGAAAGGCCCGCTTATACAACAGTGTTTTTAGTTGTTTCTTGAACATGCCCAGCGAGGGAGCCGCGCGAATCTCAGGAGGCAAGTTGTTCCAGAGGCGAGGAGCCGACCCCGATTACGGCAC